CGACCACCCCCCCTCCTTCAGGGGACTGCTGGGACGGAGGCTGGGGAGAAACCCTGTGGCTCCCAATGCACCAACACAGCAATGGATGGGGAACTGCTGGCACGGTGCCTATGGCAGCAACAGCTTCTGCAAAACCCCTCATTGTAACGCAGTAAGCAAGTGAGCTCAGAAACCAGCAGAGACAAGTCCAAATTTAATGCAAAACATGGAAAAGTGACATTCATTTAAATACTAAAAGAGGAAACTCGAGTGCTCAAAACTCGAGGGCTCGAGTGCACCCTCACCAAGTTTGCTGATGACACCAAGCTGAGCTGTGGGGTTGACATACTAAAAGGAAGTGAAGCCATCCAGAGGGACCTTGACAAACTCAAAAGGTGGGCCTGTGTGAACCTAATGAGGTTCAAAATGCTGAGTGCAAGGTTTGCACTTGGGTCAGAGCGATCCCAGATAGGTGTACAGACTGGGAGAAGAACTCCTTGAGAGTAACTCTGCAGAGAAGGATCTGAAGGTACTGGTGGATGAAAAATTATAGATGAGCCAGCAGTGTGCTCTTGCATTTCAGAAGGTCAGTGGTATCCTGGGCTCCATCAGCAGAGGGGTGGCCAGCAGGGACAGGGAGGTGATTGTCCCTCTCTTCCCTGCTCTTGTGAGGCCCCATCTGGAGTGTTGTGTCCAGGTCAGGGGCCCCCAATACAGGAGGGATGTGGAGCTGTTGGAGAGGGTCCAGAGGAGAACCAAAGATGATCAGAGGGCTGGAGCACCTCTCCTATGAAGACAGGATGGGGGATCTGGGCTTGTTCAGCCTAGAGAAGAGAAGGCTGTGGGAAGATCTCACTGCAGCAAGTCACTATCACTATCACTGTCACTATCTACTCTTAACAAGTAAAAACTCTTCCTTCCAAAAAAGGAAGAATGGTTTTAAGCTCAAGGAGGGAAGATTTCGATTGGATGTCAGGGGGAAGTTCTTTACAGAGAGAATGGTGAGGTGCTGGAACAGCTGCCCAGAGAGGTCGTGGATGCCCCATCCCTGAAGCCATTCAAGACCAAGTTGGATGGGGCTCTGGGCAGCTTGGTCTAGTGCCTGACCTGGAGATTGGTGGCCCTGCTGTGGCAGGGGGGTTGGAACTTGATGATCCTTGAACCCAAGCCATTCTATGATTCTATGAATGATTCTCAAAATGGTTTAGTCCTGTGGAACTCCACAAGGTACCACGTTCCAAAGGAAACCTTTGGAAGAGAGCAGAAACTCTTCAGTGGTGGAATCGAGCAGTCAGTGTGCTCCAGGTTCCTAATAAGCCATGTGTCTGGGTACCCATCTCAGCTAGAGGTCACCTCGTGGTGACAAGATTTTATCTGCACTCTCTGTCATATTTTCCCCTAATAGCAGGTGGGTCAGGAACCCCACAGCCTGGCACGGGACACTTTGGCAGCAGGGCCCCTAAAACGGTGCCCAGTGGCAGTGTGTGTGGTGCCCAGCATGCCCAGAGGCCATTACCACACTCCTGGACCAGGCGGTACAGCCCAGGGGGAAACAGAACAGTGTGGGTACAGTTTGTGTGGCGCCCACCATCCGCATTCTCTGCACCCTCACCTAGCTGAACTTCATGTATGGGTTCAATCTCAGAGCAGTGTTCCTCCGAGGCCAGCCCCTGGGAAGCAGCATGCACAGATGCTGGTGGCACCGATCCCATGTATGCAGTCTCCTTGCTGGAGAAGAGGCCCAAATTCTAAAATTAAGTGCTCAGAACGAGCACTTTCTTAGCCCACTCTGTATCAGTAGTTACTGAGCAATTCACAGCAGATCTAAGATTAGCTAATGAAGTCCAGTGACTCATCTGCCAATCCTCCCTGCCACAGGGAAAATTCCATTTTTCTGTACCAACAAAACTTCAGTTGTGCAAATTATAAATGAACGCAGCTTGGAGAGGTCATGGCGACATGAGGATGCTTATCTAGAGCTACTGGCACAGACTGTGCTGCCACTGGAGCAGTGCATACCTGCGCTCCCCGCAGCAGCACGTGGCTGCTCCCCCAGTGCCCAGCCCCACAGCACCAGCCAGCACAACCCCAGCCCAAACCCCTCATTAGCTCACGCCCATCAACTAATTAAAGCCATACCAATTCACTACAGGCTTCAGCAAGCTATATCGCTGAGCAAAATTATGAGGTGGAGGAAAGTAATAAAGAGAATCAAAGCAGAACCCACAAGCCAGAAATAAAATGCAAAACAAGCCCAAACTTCAGACACAGGCACTGCAGCGCCAGTGGGGCCAGCGGGCCTGCAGGGAGGGGCAGCAGCCAGACCCCAGTGCCAGGAAGGAGCCCCAGTGTCCTGCAGCATGAAGGCTTCACGACCACCCAGGTCATGGGGTACAGTCGCCATCACAGTACAGTTGCAGGTCCAAAATGCACAGCTGGGGCTCTGCTCAGCATCCAGTTCAGATCTTCTTTTCCATACACGTTGTTTCAGGCCACGTTAGGTTCTGGTTATCAAAGCCAAATGTTCCAGCCTTTGGTATCTAATGCAAACCAGCTTACCATTTATGTATTTTTCCCAGAGAAATCAATTTTAAGAACAACTCACCCAACTTTGAGTTTTATAATATGCACTTAAAAAAAATATTCAGAAGAAAGCAAATACTTTCCATACAGGAGAGGTGCTGGGTTGGATGCCAGCAGCTTGCTCTTACTGGGCACCGCCAGTGCTGCTTAGAAATGCTCTGCTATCAGTAGTAATGAAACCTGGACAGTAATGATCATCTAAGGATCCAGCAAAATCAGAAAACTGACAGCCTAGCAGCTGCCTGTGGCCAGCAGAAGGCTGCTCCCACCTTCACAAGGGGCTGCTCAGGGCCTCTTGCCCACCAAGGGCAGCTGCAGCCGCAGGGAAGGTCTGCGCTCCAGGACTGCAGCCGAGCCAGCAGGGCATGCTAACACAAAGCACAGCTATAGCTGAATGTAGCCAGCTGGCCAGAAGGATGATTTTTTTTCCCCAAGGAGTGGCAGAGAACCCTGCAGAACCAGCCCAGTGCCAGCGGCCGCTGAACCAGCATCTCAACACCCGTTACTGCCCGGCACGCAGGGCGCACGGGGCCCAGCAGGGCACAGCTCAGCCCCCTCCTCCCGGCACCAACACCTCCAGCCTGCGGGACTATGGCAGGTAAAAAGCTGAAATTCCACAAATCAGTTATGACAAATGATTGCTTCGGGTCAACAGAAGGCGTGGAGAGTTCAATTACACCATAAAACGGTTGGTGTAGGTTTTCCTGCAGCCTGGCTGCCAGCCCCTTGCCACGGACAGGGAGGGATGAGGTGGGGGCTGGCCCACGTTCCGTGCCACGTACCACCACACAGCTGGCACCCAGCTGGTGGGTGAGCCAGCAGCTGGTGATGAGAGACCACCAGCCCAAGCCCAAACGGCACCGTCACGGGGGCACCCCACAGCTCACCAAGACACGGGTGCTGCTAAGCCAGGGCACCTGCTGGGTTCATCAGAGCCAGCTATATAACCAAATCACTCTCCAGTTCTATAAAACACCCCACTTCTCCCCTTCAGAGAGTGTGAACCCACTGGGCACAGCTCTCGCAGGGGTGCGGAGACGCTCCCAGACCTGACAGGCTGCTCAAGATGTGAGAGATGTGAGGCGGAGGGAAGGTGGATTGTGCACATATAGCTGCAATCTGCAGATTCAGAATATTTGCAGAACGCCTTCTTACAAGGAAATAGTAATAGCTTTAGTATTTAAATCAGAATAAAATACAGAAAAATCCCAACCCAAAATACACCAAAGAACAATCTGTGATTCTGCAGGCCCTACGCTTAGGACATCAGCTGTTTGAGCCGAAGCACAGCTGTAGGGCTCAGGAGGAAACCTCCAAAACCGCAGCGTGGAGCAGAGGCGGCTATAAGAAGCCGTTAGTGTAACAGGAACTGAAATGAACTGAAGCAGCCCTACCATTTCCTAAAGCCACATGCAAGTTTTAGAATTATATGAAGGGAAACCTTAACAATTGAGCAGAAAGAACAGTGTCACCAGACGTAGGAACTGATTAGTGGTGTTCAAGGGGTAACTCAAAACCAATTGGCAGAGAATACTGAAGACAACTTACAATCCCTGAAGAACTTCCACTTTTTTTTAGCCAAATAGTTTTGCTTTGTCAGAACAAAAGACTAAAGTAAGCTGTTCAGAGCTTCACATCATTACATACAACAGAAACTTCCACTTAACTTCTTAAAATCAGATAAGAAATGGAATACCAGTATGCTCTTGGCTTTTGCTTCTGCATTTGCTGCATAATTCTTATCACTTATCTGCATAATGGACAAGGCAAAAAGGCAATTTGCAGTGAGATTTTTGCTTTAAGCCTTGCCAAAACCAAAGAACAATCATTTCAGTGAGCCAGCTTCTTCAACTCCCATCTGCAGATGGACAGCCACGCTTTGTGCTGGGATATTGCTTAAGGCTGGTGTGTAATCCACTTGCAGAGCTCAGCCTCGAGTTGAGGAAGGACACACACACAGGTCAGGCTGCTCAGGCCCCCTGAGGGCTATGTTCTGTCTATACTGAAACTCAGAATCACAGAATCACATGTCCCGGGTTGGAAGGGACCTCAAGGATCATGAAGCTCCAACCCCCTGCCACAGGCAGGGCCATCTACCTCCCCATTTCATACTACACCAGGCTGCCCAGGGCCCCATCCAATGGCCTTGAACCCCTCCAGGGATGGACGGGGCATCCACAGCCTCTCTGGGCAGCTGCTCCAGCACCTCACCACTCTCTCCATAAAGAACTTCCCCCTGACATCCAACCTCAATCTGCCCTCCCTCAACTTAAAGCCATTTCCCCTTGTCCTGCTGTTATCTACCCATTCAAAGAGTTGATTCCCCTCCTGTTTGTAGGCTCCCTTTAGGTATTGGAAGGCTGCAATGAGGTCACCCCGCAGCCTTCCTTGCACTCTGCAGCCGTGCACAGCCAAGCAGCGTCCATCTGCTGACTCACCTTCAGCAGCTCTTCAGGTTCACTCATCTGCTTCATCCTTTAAGCTGGCATTAACACAGACACACGTCAGATCCTGGCAGCGCAAGGATACAGAGAACAGTGTCACCAGATGCCACCCCACAACTTGTTGAGAAGGGCCACAGTCCCCCCACCCCTCAGAGGGCAGTGAGCCAGTCCGGGCTGTTTGATTGCTGACAGAGGGCCTGGCCGGGGCTCAGCACCTAAGGTTCTCCTTCAGCTCCCCGTGTGCAGGCAGTCAGGTGGCAGAAAGTATTCTTTGCATTGTGCGGGGCCCGGCGGCCTCAGGGCTGTCCCACACAGGCACAGGGATGCAGCCCATCCCCAGGTACGAAACACGCCCTGGGAAAACGGTGGGACACAAAGCTGGAGGCTCCAGGTGTGACTGCAGGGGCCGCTCCGCACAGCACCGCACGGCCCGGCTCCGACATGGCTGCCTGGGCAGGCTGCCACTGCACCAACGGCTGGCGGGGCCTTACATGCAGCGGGGGTTGAAGTGCAGCACTGCTTCATCACGGAGGGCCCCCGGACATCTGCACTGCCAGCCCTACTGCCAGCATCAAGGGGAGGACACTGGGCTTGATCTTACCTTCCCTATCCGTTCCATGTTGCTCGCAGCACTGACGCCAGGATGGAGAACAGAGGCACTGGGCACCGGCCCTCAGAACTCGAACCAGCAGGCAGTGAGACCCAGAGCGTGGGGCACCTGTGAGCTGTGCCTGGGGCAACCGGCACCATCTGCAGATCGGAGCAGCTCCAGGTAGCTGCTTTTCCTGGACGTGGGGGTTTTGCTTCTTTTCATTTTGCCCTTTTCTTTTAAGCAGCCAGCAGGCTATCTGTAACTCCTGTCAGCTAACTGCTGCCGCGCTGCAGCCAGAAAGCTTTGCAACACATCTTGGCAGGGAATTTGTACAATGAACATCTGTGTGCGCAGCAAACATAGAAATCACCTCACATAGCCACCAGCTAGCCCTAAACTTGAGAGGATGCTAGAAAAAAAAACAGGAAAAAAACCCAGAAATTCCTCAAGACTCATTGATAAAGGCCAAACTGTTTTTTCCCCATGAGTGGGAGCACTCAGCATCCTCGCCAGCTACACATGCTGTTTTGAGATGGGGACAGCAGATGCCAGGTAAACAACTGCTTCTTTAAGGCTGTACACAAGGTGCAAGAACACATTCCTTCTCTATACACTGCTGTCTTTTTTTTACATTTATTTCTGGAAAACAGGAAAATTATTTGTTTGCAGAGGTAGCCAAAATTGGCCTTGGGAGACAGATGTCCTATTTTAGCAATACATTTTAGTTTGCTTGTTTACCACAGCCTTTCAACAGTTTTAAGAGAAACATTTTTGACTGAATGCTCTTATCGAGACTGAGCAGAAGGGATTTTCTGGTGTTGGACTTTTCATGTTAAACTTTGTTGCTGTTAGGCAGAAAGAGGAAGTTTGGATCTCTCTTGCTGACGTTCACAATACCACATTATAACCAGCATAAATCAAGAAAACAAGCTTCTATGTTTTCCTTTCCACTCGGTCTTTGAATTTGACAACAGTTCATCGCAGTATTTGCTGCAACAGATTCAGAAGAAACAGGAAGTAAAATCTGTGCAATGGTTCTTCAGCTAGAAGCTAATCTTCTAGCACACGCAGATGACATTTAACCTAGCAAGGGCAACTCTGAACTCTTCTTGGAGCACCAGAAGCAACAAATTCCTACCAATATTTGATATTCCTCATCAAATTCCTAGACAGGACCTCTTTCCAGGGAAAACCTAAAGGACTGCAGACCAAAAGAAATTAAGTGATTTAGTTTCAGAAGTTTGATTACAGGTCACTTTAGTTTGTAAGCCGTTTCTCCTGTAGGGTGGACAGCCCGCTTGCTTTCTCTCTTTTTCTTAAGGACTGCCAGCCACTTCTGGCAATGTGTGAGGATGAGGACCTCTTCTACCCAGCGGCAGGTGTTTAAGAGGCCTTACATCGCTGACTAGAAGGTGTGGACACACAAGTTAGCTCATCCTCCAGCTGGCCCACCAGGCTAACAACTCACCTCCACGCACGTAGTGCAAGCAGACCAAAGCTGCGCTGCCCACGGCTTCGGGTGACGTCAGTTCCCTCACTTAGCACACACAGCCATCCGAGTTACCCTCTGACTACTTGTTTGCGTACTTGTAAACATCAGTTCTCTCAGCTCTGCAGCAAATCACATTAAAAAGCTTTAACATATGCAATGACAGCCACATTGTTACGTGTTGCACATTTTCCAAGTTTTAATAGACACAAAAGTGAGTCCGTTGTATTTAAGACACTACAATGATTTCATTCTTCTGTATGTCTTCCTCCAATTACATTTCTCAGAGTACATAATGGAGTAAATGTTTGGTAGCTTTAAAATTAGAAGTGTGTGAAATCTGTAAGTAAAATAAGCAGCAGCATAATTTTGGGGATTTTATCAAGAATAGCTAACTTTTAGGTAATAAATACATTCCAAGTTGTGTTTTTTTGCTGTTCTCCTAGTTCATTGCCGTATGACTTGTCAAATTCTCATCCTAGATTAAGAAATCCTTTTCTTTCCTGCCAGCCTCACACCAGAAGAGCCTCCTAACTCCACGTCCCAGTGACTGTCACCTCTCCCAGATGATGATAAGCAGTGCAAGCTGACAAGGAAACCCGTCCTCCTGTCACGTGCATGGCAACCTCCCGCTTCTCCTGGGGAGCGTGTCAGGATGCGTACAGACTTCGTGACATTCTAGGAGAACAGCTGTGCTCTTATCTTCTTTACCTTGAAGAAAGTAAGAGAGGGAGAGGTTACTGCAAGCACGGGCTGAGCGGCAGTGGCGGAGGCACACGCTCCGGACTCTGGCTAAATATAGCCTGGCATTCTGCAGCTTCTAGCTTGCTCAGCAGGCAGCAGCAGCAGCAGCTTCGGAAGAAGCCTGTCAAGTTAACAGATCTAAAGGAGGAGTGGGAATTTTCTCCAAGACAGACGTGATACGAGTTCCAGAGATAATAAAAATCTTCAGTCTCTGCCTTAAAGCCTTTTAAGCCCCTTCTCAGGGTGGGGTCTTGTGGGTTAATCTGCCACGAGTTCCTACAAAGAGCACCACGTACAGAACATCTGCTCAGTTCTGCCTTCACTTTTCAAAGACAATCTATAAAATAGGATTATTTCCTTCTTGACAGCAAGCCTTACAGAAGCTTTTCCAAGTACCAGCAGCTGCTCAAGGCACCGACTGCTGCCACAGTACACAAATCCTGCTCGAAGTGAAGAGGTGCGGCAGCCCAAGCTCCAAAGGCAAGAGCTGGCCCTGCCTCCCCTCCACAGCCCCGCTCACTGTGGGAGCTCCCTTTCTGCTCCAGATGTTTGTGCCAGGCTCCATGAGAACGCAATGCCACAGCAGTGCTGCACATCCCTCAGGTCACCCAGTGTCTGACTCAGAAGGACAGTGCTACCAGCCTCCTGTCATCCACCCTTGCACAGCTGGATGTGACCAAACACACTGGCCCATTTCTGAAGAGTATTTAGGCAATGAGATACGTGAGATGCTCTTTTTACATTTCGAGATGCTAAGGAATACATTTGGAAATGCTAAAGATGAAGAAACCAAGTAGCAATGAAGTTTGCTTCACACTTGACTTGTGGCCCTTTGGAACTCTCACTAAATATCAGCCACTACAGAAGGCACAGGACAGGCTCCCACAGGATCATCTACTGGAGAGCCATGGGCCTGTTGCAGGAAAAAAAACACCAAAGAGAACAGTGCAAACCTGCAGCTTTCTGCACCTGATCTGCATGCCAGGTGCATTTGCCCTGGTGCTGTGAGTCAGTTTAAAACACATCCATTTGTCTGCGTGTGGAGAAGCCAGAAGAGCAGATGTGAAACGGTTTAATGAAACTTAGAACAACTTACAAATGAATTTTTAAAAAATGGCATAGGGACCTACACCTGCACTTCTCAATTACAAAAGCATTTCTGCAACATACTTCAAAAGGAATTCAGTTTGAAACAGTTCAAAACAGATTGGTCCTAACATGTGTCCATGCCAAATCAACTAGAGAGGCCGAGTCAAAGCCACGGGACACACGGGCAAACAGGATTAATGCTAGGAAAAAAATCAAAGACACTTAAAAGCCCCTCATAGTTGACATTTGTGAGTTCTAAGTACAGAACACAATTAAACCAAGAATGCCAACACCAAACACAGAAAGATGACTACATTTCCACCGCAGCTGAAAATGTACCAATACCTCCTCTGCAGGCATGGAACCAAAAGACACACCAGTTTGCACAGCCTCACCACCCAGAAGGATTCTGAACACTGCACTCTCATTTAAGACTTCAAAGATCTGATTTAACGCACCATGAACATCAGCCCCAAAAGCTGTATGTCAGAGGGCTGCAATCAGATTCCACAAACTCCTTCAGCCTTCAGCAGAATTATCCTGCTCCTAACAAACTGAGATGTCGTATCACCTTGTGCGCATTTTTATTAACTTTCAAAGTCTACAGACTTGGTAGAATATCCCTCAAACGCGTTTTGCAAGAAGCTGACTCTTCAGAGACAGATTATGGATGGAGAATATTTTGTATGAAGAGGAACTCTGCATTCCACTGTTGAGAAGGTAGCAGCAAGCCCTCAGGCCAGGCATACACCCTGCGATCTCACGCTAACACTCGGAGGACAGAAGTGTCACAGCAGGAGCACGGTGCCAAGCAGGGTCACGAAGCTCCGTGCGCTGCCCAGCTCAGGTGTCCTGCCTCAACGGCCGGCTGCACCGGGCCAACACGCATCCTGCAGCAGCAACACAGTGACCGTCGTTCATAGCGTGCGCCCAGCTGCCTTCAAGGCTCCTTTGGAGAAGCCCAGGCACGGGGCAGCTCATAACTGCAGTGGGGCAGCTCCCACTGCGGCCCTCTGCCCACCGAGGCAGGCCAAGAGCTGAAGGAGCGGGGACCTGCTCACCTTCTCCACACTTGTAGCTCATTTTGGACACAATTAGCAGCAGGCTGAGAACTAGCATTGCCAGACCGGTCTTCCTCCAGACAGCTCCCCTCTGGGGAGAGTCAGACTGGGCAGCAAGCTGAGGGGAACCGAGTGCCGGTACCTGCAGCAGCCCAGCCAGCACCCGAGAATCTGGGGGCTTCGGGCAGGTCCCAACTGTCCTTCCTTCTGAAGGCAGCGCTGCTGAAACACCTGATCAGGAGAAGCTGAGGGGACGGGCAGAGCGGCCCTGTGCTTGCCATGACCCAAGAAAGCAGGACCCAAGAAGTGGGCCAGCAGCGCAGCCAGCACCTCGCCTCCAGCCACCCCAAGGTGCCGCGCATGGCTGGCTGGGTT